GTACTTTAGAGACCTGCCTTTGTCCCCAGTTTGACTATGTACTGTCCAACACTGCTGTCATTTATTAAGCAGGAAGTTATATGATATACAAATGACTTGCAGAAGGTCAGGCCTCCACTATGGTTTCAACACTCTCGGTGTTAGATGTTAATTTACTAAAAGAAAACACTTATGTACAGTCTTTCAGTGCAAAGTGTCTGTCCATGCCTATTTGTGAATTATATCTACTGTTTTCTTCAGTGGATTTAAGTGTGTGAAATTACATTGCCAACATACTTTATTTGTGTGTGTGTTTGTATTTGAGAAAAAGAGATGAAAGAGAAAAAGAATATGTATTTCATGTCAGTATATGAGAGGTTAATGATAAGAGCAGTGAATGTGTAAGTATACTTATGATTGGACAAACTCAAGTCCATATCGACCTCACTGCTTCTTTTGAGCCACATCGGAAGATTTGATCAGCAAAGATGAAGTTTGAGAACCTGTTTGGGGAAATACCGGATCAGTATAATCGCCCTTTTGGTGATTCCGAGAGTCACGTTGCCGTTTCACTTCCAGTTAAACAACTTCATCGCCGCCATCCCATCTCATCATTGTGATATCAGCTCTCTGGATGCTGACGGGATCCTTGGGTATGGGTCAAGAAGAGAGACTGGCTGCGTCCGAAATGGCATACTTCCTTGCTATATAGTAGGGGAAAAGAGTATGTGAACGGATTAGTATGTCAGAAACCGCATTATTCAAAAAAAGAGTAGGCGAGAAATCCCCAGATGTCCTACTGCTTTAGATTCTTAAGTCTTCATCGATGGACACTTTTCAATCCCAGGGGCCGGTTGCATAAACTGTTTAGACTAGTCTTAAAAAGTTAGTCATCTAATTTTTTTTCTTTAAGACTTTAATAACTTTTTTAAATTCAGTTATGAAAAGGTAGATTGGTCTTATTTGTAGTGGAAAGGTAAGACTGATTTGCCCTTGGCAACTGCTAGTTGGTCAAACTAGTTCTTAAGACACAGTCTTAACATGGTGACTAAGTTTACGCATCTGGCCCCAGGAGTCCAGGGGAGATCAATACGTCATCCTCGAACGTGACGGAGAACAGCAACGAGGAACACCGGAGGTAAGCAGTGTTGGGGGTAACGCATTACAAGTAACGCGAGTTACGTAATCAGATTACATTTTTCAAGTAACTAGTAAAGTAACGCATTACTTTTTAATTTACAAGAGAATATCCGAGTTACTTTTTCAAATAAGTAACGCAAGTTACTTTTTTTCCCCCAATTTATTAACTGACAGCTCTCCTGTCCCCATGTTGAGAGAAATCAGCAGATGTTACTGTAGTTCTAAAATAAATATAAATATGCATTAATTCATCTCACTCACAAAAAAAAAAACACGGATTCAGTATTCCTCAAAATGAATAAAAATAATGCAACTCCGAATATGATGCAAACCTGCAATAATTAAATTTTAAACAACACAAATATCCTTTATGTATTTAATCCCATTCTATTTGCTTCTGACCTTCGATGATCCAGTTCAAC